AACAATCATCCTTATATTTTCTATCTAGAAACTAACATCATAAACTTGTCAAAAATATTTGTTGCTATTCATTAATACTTCAAAAGGTTGTATGTTGGTCAAGCAGTAAGCTAGCAGTGGCAAAAAGAAGAACAAAAAGTAGTACAGGAAAATTGAAAGAGAAATATGAAACCTTTAATAACTTTACTGATTTTACGAATAATAAACCCATAGAATTTGAAGGATTTAATGCATAAGAAATCTTACAACTGCACATGTAGACTTCTCGTCCAATGATCTATCATCATTGCGCTTCATACGAGTTAATATGTTGATTTCTACACATTTAAGCTCTATCTGGCTAGAGTCTAATACAATTAACTTGATGTAAGATATTACTCGTGAATTAACGAGTCGTAAATTTTATGATATGGATTTACACGTGAATACCTATACATTTATCAAGATTGAAATATTTTCTAGCAGAAATGTACTTCTTGTGTAACATACAACGCCACCACGCCCATCCCATGCATCATTCTGCCCCCAATAGCACACAAATATATAACCATCTTGAGTAGTTTTTAATTTGGATGATAAAATATACCTGCAGAAAATATCATTAACATGCTTAATTAATAGGAGTATAAAAATGGTCATTTGCAAAGTAAATACAAATTTTCACACTATAAAAGAATGCACTTAAAGATTGGATTTAAGTTTTAACAACTAAACATCTAATGTCAATCCTGAATATGTATTTATCAGCATGTTTTAGTCCAATATTGAGACACGATATAAAAGAGGTATTATTATCATAAATAGAGCGTACTTGGATGCTTGGGATCATGCACAAATCTTTGAACCGTTGAACAAGTGAATGCTCAATCAGGTGCAAGTATTCTCTAACATAAATTTTCCACATGTTTGTTTTCTTCTATATGGAACTGAAGCATAGTAATTGTCTTTCTGAGTCGTGGGTTCCAATCATCTATTAGTAATTTAGGTTCACGACACTATGATTATATAGTCTGTACCTAAAATGATGAGTCGTTTTTAGTAACTGTGAAGAAAGAAGACATGTAACTACAACACCATAACAACCATTGCAACTGTATAACTTAAAGAACAAGAATTCATTAAAATAAAAAAACATATGGCTCAGAGATCTAGTTAAACATAACAGAGCCGAATACAATTAAACAAGACTATCCTAATTTTTAAGCATACCTCCTGCCTATCATCATTTACAGCAGAAAGTAGCAGTATATTATAAATAAAACAGAGGCAATTATATATCTACGATTGCACTCCATAGTGATATCTAATTAAGGAGTAGAAAATTTAATAAATAAAACGAAGACAACTGAGTGGCAAATATAGTGATATAAGTACTCCAAAATCATAAAGTCTACTAGTGTATGTGCCAAGACCTGGTGTCACAAGTGTATAAGCAACTAGTAGAATATACAACACTCCAATTACTGTCTGAAATAAAGTAGACAGAAAAATAGATACAAAAGAGAGACTCTAGGTGATGCAGAACGGCTCAGGAAGCAACTCACCACTAGGCCTCGGGATAACGGGGGTGCGCGTCGATATGACCGCCAGATGCACCTGCCTCAGATCCTGCACGATTAGTGCAGAAGTGTAGTGTGAGTACATAAACAACATGTACTCAGTAAATATCTAGTCTAACCTCGAAAAAGTAGTGACGAGGGGTCGACATCGACACTTACTATGGGCTAACAATAAAAATACAGAAATTCTAAATGAGAATGGTTTATGTAAATAATAATAATCTCTCAATAACCAGCAAGAAATAAATAATTCTTTCACAAATGGTAAATCCCAAGTCAATTTCTGTCACACAAAAAATTTTAACCTCTCGGGCCATAAAATAATATCAAATATAATTAAGCTCCGAGTATTATCACGCACGATTATGCCGAGGTCGTATGGCCCGATCCAGAATAATGCGTACACTGCCGAGGGTCGTGCGGCACGAACCATAGATGCTTCTATCCACTGCCGAGGAGTTCAGCCCGCTCCACAAGAAGAGAGGATACTTTATGAACATCCGATTTAAAAGTTATTACAAGGCTAATACACAAAGAAGCACAATTTCTATTAACGGTCAAGTAACCCGCCAAAACTCAAGTAAGTGAAATTCGGTCTTTTACAATTCCTTTATCAAGTTCTAATATAATTTAGGCACTTTAATTAACAAGTAGGGTGCAAACATTACAAGTATTTCATGATTTGGGTCCTAAATTATCCGGACATAAGCATAATTAGTAGCTACGCACGGACTCTCGTCACCTCGTGCGTACGTAGCCCCCACAATTAGAGGAAAATATTAATTTAAATCACCTATGAGGTAAATTCCCTCTTACAAAGTTAGGCAAGAGACTTACATTATCTCAAATCTCGCTTTCCGGCCTCAAATTCACTCTAAAGCCTTCACTCGGTGCCGCACAATCCGAAACTAGTCAAATGTTATATAAATTAATCAATACATGTTCGAAAGTTTGTATTCTAACTATTAGAGTAATTACCAAACCCCTATTGGAAGATTTCAAAAATTCTTCCCTGGGCCCACGTACCCAGATTCCGGAAATGTTCGAAGATAATTGTTACCCATAACCTCATGAACTCAAATATATAATTTTTACCAAATTCCATAACCATTTTCATGGTTAAATCCCATTGTTTATCAAAACCTAGGTTTTTTATCTAAACCTATAATTTCCATAATTTTACATGTTAAAATCTACCCGTAATCGATATATTTAACTTACATAGTATAGAAATTACTTACCTCCAATAGCTAGGTGAAATTCCCTCTCTAAGAAGCTCCAAAATCGCCCAATAAGTGAAATAAATGAGTCAAAAATGGCCAAGTCCTGTATTAAATGAACCTCACTGCCTTGAGGACTTCCGCTTTTACAGCTCCATGACCGCATATGCGGCTCCGCTTCTGCGTAGAAAGCCTCGCAGATATGGCTCTTCCTCAGTTGGCCCCTTCCGCATCTACGGACCACATGCCCTCTTCTGCGGGACCGCTGCTGCGACACGCGTGTCGCACCTGTGGCTTTGGCCGCTTCTGCGGTTGTTTCCATTACACGTGTGCGTTCGCAGGTGCGCACCATATCCCCGCATCTGCGATTTCTGGGCTGCCCACACTGGGCCGCTTCTACAGCTGCTAGCTCGCACCTGCGGATGGGCCTCCATAGGTGTGATTGCACCACAAGCTTGATGCTTCAGCTGTTCATCCAAGGCCAAACAACTTTCGCGCATCGTCCGAATGGCATCCGGGGAGCCCGAGGCCCCGTCCAAACATGCCAATAAGTTTGTAGACATAAAACTGACTCGCTCGCACTCTCGGAATGCGGAAAACAACATTAAAACTAAGCATCGCAACCCAAAACCAATAGAATCAACTTATGAACTTCAATAGTTTCTAACTTACTCTGAGCGCACCGAATCATACTTAAACTACTAGGAATGACACCAAATTTTGCGTGCAAGTCTTAAATCACCATAAAGAACTATTTCCAGGCTTGGAATCCCGAACGGACCTCGATAGCACCAAGACCTACTCCAAACTAAATTAAAAGAACTGTAAAACCTTCAATAACCCAACTTTCAACTCTAGGGGCCGAAATACTCCCGGTCATCCAAAACCCGATCCGAACGTATGTCCAAGTCAAAAATCATCATACGAACCTATTGGAATCATCAAATCACGATTCCGAGGTCGTTTACTAGAAATGTTGACCCAAGTCAAACTTAACCCTTTAAAGCTAATAACAAGGAACTAAGTGTTCTGATTTCAACCTGAAGTCTTCCAAACCGAACTAACCATCCCCGCAAGTCATAAAACAGTAAAAGAATATACGGGGAGTCTTATTTAGGGGAACGGGGATCCAGAAAGCGAAATGAACGGCCGGGTCATTACATTCTTCACCTCTTAAGCAAACGTTCGTCCTCGAATGGGTCTAGAATCATACCTGGAGTGCTAAATAAGTGTAGATATCTGCTCTGCATGTCCTCCTCGTCCTCCCAAGTCGCCTCCTCGACTGATTGACCCCTCCACTAAACTTTTACCGCATAAATCTTCTTGGTCCACAGTTGGCGAACCTGCCTGTCAACAATTGTAACTGGCTCCTCCTTATAAACCAGGCTCTCATCTAGCTGAACTGTGCTGAAATCTAACACATGCGACATGTCTGCATGATACCTTCGGAGCATAGACACGTGGAAAACTGGATGAACTCCAGATAGACTGGGAGGCAAATCAAGCTCATAATCAACCTCCCCAACTCGTCTCAACGCCTCAAATGGGCCTATGAACCTTGGGCTCAACTTGCCCTTCTTCCCGAACCTCATGATTCCCTTCATCGGCGAGACTTTCAAGAGAACCTTCTCGCCCACCATAAATGATAAATCCCTAATGTTGATGGATTGGAGTATTGTTTCTAAGCTTGCCAAAACACTATTTTGGTATTGAGCCTAGAAGTACCCTAGAACTGCATGTGGCACCCGAAATTAAAATCCAATCAAGATTGCAAGTTTGCAACATGTAGTATTGTACATACTGTTTTTCAAAAGTTAATTAATAGTACTAGCTACCTAATAAGCAATTATGTATGCACCTATCCATGTTAATTTTCTATGTCCCTATTATTAGTGCCTAAAGTGATTAATATATCTTTAAGTAGTACATTAATTATGGATCCATGCTAGAACCATAAGACACAAAGAAAACGATTAACTTTTTATTTGTTGGGGGCAATTATAAGAACTCTATTGCAATTCCGCAAGTAACTGTCGTACGTTTTGAGGTATATATGACTGTTTAGATGCAGCGTACCGTCTTGTCTACATGCAATTGATAACTGTTAGACTTCTGTGTCAGAAATATGATGATAAGCAAATTGCAACTATTTAAGCATAGGTCTTCTACGTCCAAAACACATGAGAGAAATTCCTGGGTGCGTTAGAACATTATTTAAGAATTCGGCAATTAGCAGCCAACCAAAATGACTACTACTTCTGAAACCAAATTGAGCTTGAAGCTTTTGATTGACACCAAGGCCCGAAAAGTTGTATTTGCCGAGGCTGAAAAGGATTGCGTTGATTTCCTCTTTCACATCCTCTCATTGCCTGTGGGCAGTGTTGTCAGGCTTCTTAAGGAAAAAGGGATGAACGGATGTTTGCCTAACCTCTACGGCAGCATAGAAAATCTGAATGACACCTACATTCAGTCTAAGGAAGGCAAGAACATCCTTTTAAAACCCAACTCCCCTGTTGGGATCTCTTCAATTCCTCTTCTATTGCTTAGTGACGACGTTCCGACACAAAAAACTTTATATAAACGTAGTTACAGTTGCAGCTCCTCCTACGCAACCGATGACCCTAATGCAATCTGTCCAAATTGTGGGACCCATATGTCAGCATATTTGAAGTATGTTGCTCCACCCATAGTGAAGGGAGCTGCGGCCGCCAAAGGGGGGCTTGTGAAGGAGGCGGTGACCTTCATGGTGATGGATGACTTGGTGGTTAAGCCAACTTCCGCCATATCTAGTATTACCAGTTTTGACAAGCTTAATGTCAAGGACGCAGGTGTGCTGCAGGAAAAAGTAGTAAATATAGGAGTGGAAGAGGTACTCAATTAAATTAAATATTGCTTCTTTCTTCGTTATGCCATTTTTTGTTTGATGAAATTTGTTCTTACTTAATAAACTCCTACTCCATCACTTTGCAGGCGCTGAAGTTGCTGAAAGCATCTTTCGAATCTAAAACCGTTCTCACAAGTGTTTTCCTGAGCCATGTAAAAGCGGAGAAATAGTCATTAGATATAATGGGATTCGGTGTTTCAGTTTACTATTTAATTTGCCCTTAATTTTACTGGTTTTCCTTTGTTTCATTTTCCGCTGGCGTTGATTCTTATTTGTACGTTCAGCTTTATATGATCCATTGCAATATCTTATTTTTGTCTGGTTTGAGATTTTTTTTGTTATGTTCTCGGCTTTCAACTTGTATTGTATTTATAGAGTAATATCGATACTCAAGTCTAAAAATATCATACGGACTCGCTCGCACGATCGAAACACTGAAATAATATCTAGAACTCGAAAAACTTTCAATGCGCCAACTTCCAATATTAAGCGCCGAAACGCTCTCGGGTCATCCGAACACACGCCCAAGTTCAAAATCATCATACAACTCTATTGGGACCGTCAAATTCCGGTTCCGAGGTCATTTACTCAAAACATTGACTCAAGTCAAATTTACCATTATAGGCTACTATTACGGAACTAAGTGTTCCGATTTCAACCCAAACCCTTCCAAACCTAAACCAACCATCCCCGCAGGTCATAAAACAGTAAAAGCACATACGGGGAGTCTTAGTTAGGGGAACGGGGATCTAGAAAGTAAAACGACCGATCGGGTCATTACATTCTCCACATCTTAAACAAATGTTCGTCCTCAAACGGGTCTAGAATCATACCTGCAGTGCTGATAAGGTGCGGATATCTGCTCCTCATGTCCTCCTCGGCCTCCCAAGTCGCTTCCTCAACTAGTTGACCCCTCCACTGGACCTTCACCGCAGGCCGCAGCAATCTTCTTGGACCTCAACTAGTGAACCTGACTGTCAACAATAGTAACCGGCTCCTCTTCATAACCCAAACTCTCATCTAGCTGAACCGTGATGTAATCTAGCACGTCCGACCTGTCGGCATGATACCTCTGAAGCATAGACACATGCAAGACCGGATGAACTCCCAATAAATTGGAAGGCAAAGCAAGCTCATAAGAAACCTCCCAAACTCACCTCAACGCCTCAAATGGGCCAATAAACCTTGGGCTCAGCTTGCCCTTCTTCCCGAACCTCATGATTCCCTTCATCGGCGAAACTTTCAAGAGAACCTTCTCGCCCAACATAAATGATAAATCACACGCCTTCTGATCCGCGTAACTCTTCTGTCTGGACTGTGCTGTGCGAAATCGCTCCTGAATCAACTTTACTTTTTCCAAGGAATCTTTCACTAAATCGGTGCCGTATAACTTAACCTCGCCGGGATTAAACCATCCGATGGGCGAACGACATTGTCGACCATATAAAGCCTCAAATAGAGCGATCTCGATGTTGGACTGATAGTTGTTGTTGTAAGCAAACTCGGCCAAGGGCAAGAATCTATCCTACTGACCTGCGAAGGCAATGACACATGCTTTGAGCATACCCTCCAAGATCTGAACTGTTCGCTCCGACTGCCCGTCGGTCTGCGGATGAAAAGATGTGTTGAGCTCTACTCGGGTACCCAACTCACTCTATACTGCCCTCCATAAATTCGAAGTAAACTAAGGGCCTCTATCTGATATGATGGAAATAACCACACCCGCTACTACAAAAAGTAGCTTTAACGGCACTGAAAATGCCTTTAGCGGCAATAACAATAGCCGTTATATCCTTTATCGGCAAATGGCATTTAGCCGGCAATGCAGGGGTCGGCAAAGCCTTTGGCGGTCATTCTCACAAAAGCTGGTAAAGGGCATAATTTATTGTCACTAAAGATCATTAGTTTTACCGACAATTGTTTGTGGCAATAATTTTGGCTAGTAAATTCAATCCATAACAAACTAATTATGCTCTTTTAACGTCCATTTTTATAGCCGATAAATTTAGTTAAATTGCCTCTATAAGTCAGTAGTTTTAACGGCTAATTTTTGTGGCAATTAGAATGACTACTTTATCTTTCATGTAAATATCTTGTTTTGACCCTTTAGAGTCTATTTTAATGGCAAGTAAATTGAACTAAATGTCGCTAATAGTAAAACAATGCCTCTTGGTGGAAACAAAGGTAGTCAAATGCTAGAAAACATATTAGTATTAATTCATAAAATAAAGTATATAACATTGAATCTAAACAAAAGTAGTATTAATCCATAATATTAATATCACAACTTTTAAAATAAACTTATATTGATTGAACTGATATAACTAATCCTATCAAATAATATCTTCAAATATTTTCGGCAACTCTTCATCATATTGAAATCTTCCACATGCGAAATTTTCAAACAAATGACCTGGAAAAAAAATGTGTCAAAAGATAGAATGTAATATATAAAACATCGTGAGTCTACACATCTAAATATATTGTGAATTATCAAAACAATGTGAAAAATAAGGCTAATATGCGAAGTAGGGTACCAAATTCATCATGGTTGAAGATATTGAAGTGTAATTTTTAATAAGACAAATCGTTCTTAAGTCGAAGCTCCCTACATCAAGTTATAGTATTGGAATACAATCAAAATATTTTGTCTAAGAAAGAACAAAGGATGACAAAAAGAAGATAAAAGAGTTAGCTAATGTGTCAAATGAAACTTGTTGTATTAGAATACAACTTAGATGTAACATTGTAGAAAATAATAAAAAGCTAATGTCTGACAAGAATTCAAGATGCTACAATTTCATATAAACAATACTTGTCTGCCATAGGTATACATGTTCTGTTGGTAACAGTGTGAGTATTGTTAATTTCATCTTTTTGATATAATTTGTACAGTTCCATGTTACAAGTATGGGAAATGAGTGCATTAACATGAGGAAGAAGATGATAAATTTTCAAATCAGCTTATAAGAAAATCATTTCAATGGATTCGGTGAAGGACAACTTTACTTAGTAATTCAAGAGATTATACAGCAGCAGAGGCAAATTACTGATGTTAGTCCCTCAGAAACTAGCAGTAGCACAGTAAAAAGATCATTTTATTCAGTTGGACATGTAAGGGGAGAGTTTTCGGCAAAAAAATCCTTTAAACTATGACCAAACCTAAGGTATATCTTTCTATTATTATAGTAAACAAAAAACATCCCTTAACTAATTTCAAAGTTGCAACAATCATCCTTATATTTTCTATCTAGAAACTAACATCATAAACTTGTCAAAAATATTTGTTGCTATTCATTAATACTTCAAAAGGTTGTATGTTGGTCAAGCAGTAAGCTAGCAGTGGCAAAAAGAAGAACAAAAAGTAGTACAGGAAAATTGAAAGAGAAATATGAAACCTTTAATAACTTTACTGATTTTACGAATAATAAACCCATAGAATTTGAAGGATTTAATGCATAAGAAATCTTACAACTGCACATGTAGACTTCTCGTCCAATGATCTATCATCATTGCGCTTCATACGAGTTAATATGTTGATTTCTACACATTTAAGCTCTATCTGGCTAGAGTCTAATACAATTAACTTGATGTAAGATATTACTCATGAATTAACGAGTCATAAATTTTATGATATGAATTTGTACGTGAATACCTATACATTTATCAAGATTGAAATGTTTTCTAGCAGAAATGTACTTCTTGTGTAACATACAACACCACCACGCCCATCCCATGCATCATTCTGCCCCCTATAGCACACAAATATGTAACCATCTTGAGTATTTTTTAATTTGGATGACAAAATATACCTGCAAAAAAGGCTTTAAGCAATTTGATCGAATTCGGACTTCGTAGCCTTTATATCCGAGTAAGCATTTTCGAACTCGAAATAATGTAGCCCGTAGGCTTAGTGATTTCGAACTCGAAGTAATGTAGCCCGTAGGCTTAGTAGTCGAGTGAGCGATTTCAAACTCGAAGTAATGTAGCCCGTAGGCTTAATAGTCGAGTGAATAATTTCGAACTCGAAGTAATATAGCCCGTAGGCTTAATGGTCGAGTGAGTGATTTCGAACTCGAAGTAAGGTAGCTCGTAGGCTTAATAGTCGAGTGAATGATTTCAAACTCGAAGTTGGTGTAGCCCTTGGGCTTTATAGTTAAATGAGTGTTGCTCGAACTAGTTGATTTACTTTAAGCCTGTTTGCATAATAAATCTCGAAATAGAGGAATCTTTCTTGGATATAAGATATCGGTAAAGAAAAAAGTTTTCTTTGCAAGGCATTATACATGTGTCCATATTTTGTGTCAGGGCTCGGGCCAACTACATGAGCATGGTTCGTTTTGACCATTTGGCTCTTACAATATTTCCTATCGGAACCCTGTTATTATGAAGTAACTTTCTTTCATAGAACTTGATATATTTGAGGGGCTAATGCCCCCCCAGTATTCGAAGTCGAATGTAAAGAGGCCTCGGATACTGTCGAATTATTTCTAAGTTAGCACGATCAATGGTAGCCTCATTAGAAATCTTGCCGAAAAACCCATTTGGGATAAAACCGGTCTAAGGGAAAAAGAGTGCAACGCGTGCTTTCATACCTAGGGTTTCGTATTGAAGGATCCATCCTAGCTCCTGATCGGACTCCTGCAGGGGTTAGTTTCGAAATATAAACGAATATGGGAGGGTCGTACCTTAGCAGTATTCTTGTTTCAGGTGCGACACATTCCAATTGTTTGATAGTTGTTTGCCGTTTATAATACCGAGCTGGTATGATCCTTTTCCGATGTTTTCGAGAACCTGATACGGTCCTTCCCAGTTCGGTCCTAGGTTTCCTTCGTTTGGATTTCGGGTACTGAGGGTGACTTTCCTTAGCACTAAGTCCCTGAGTTTAAAATGGCAAAGCTTGGTTCTTCGATTATAGTATCTTTTGATTCGCTGCTTTTAGGCGGCCAATTGGACGAGAGCAGCTTCTCGTTTCTCATCCGATAATTTGAGGCTAATGTTCATAGCCTCGTTATTTGACTTTTCCGTTGTACATCAAAACCTGGCACTGGGTTCCCCGACTTCGACTAAAATCAAGGCTTCGGAGCCATATAATAAGGAGAACGGGGTTACCCCCGTACTAGATTTTGATGTTGTTCGATATGCCCAAAGAACTTCAGGTAGGATTTCTCTCCACTTTCCCTTAGCGTCGTTCAGCCTTTTCTTTAGGTTTTAAATGATAGTTTTGTTCGTTGATTCGGCCTGTCCGTTCCCACTAGGGTGATACGGTGTTGATAATATCCTTTTTATTTTGTGGTTTTTGAGGAATTTCGTCACTTTGCTGCAGACAAACTGTTTCCCATTGTTACACACTATTTCAGCGGGTATCCCGAATCGACACACGATATGATCCCACATAAAGTCTATAACCTCTTTCTCTCTTAATTTCACGAACGCATGTGCTTCAACCCATTTAGAGAAATAGTCAGTCATAAATAAAATAAATTTAGCTTTACCTGGGGCCGATGACAGAGGGCCGACGATATCCATTCTCCATTTCATGAATGGCCATGGGGATAGGACTGAGTGAAGTCGCTCTCCGGGCTGATGGATCATTGGTGCAAACCTTTGATATTTGTCACATTTTCGAACAAACTCCTTTGCATCTTTGTCCATATCAATCCAATAATACCATGCCCTGATTATTTTTCGGACTAATGAATCGGCACCGGAGTGATTTCCACAAGTGCCCTCGTGCACCTCACGTAGGACGTAGTCGGTGTCTCCTGGACCTAAGCATACTGCCAATGGTCTGTAGAATATCCTTCAGTATAATGTTCCATCTGCAGTCAATGTAAATCGAGCAGCTTTGGTTCGTAGGGCCCTCGAATTTTTAGGGTCCGATGGGAGCTTTCCATTCTTTAAGTATTCAATATATTTATTTCTCCAATCCCAGGTTAAGCTTGTAGAATTTATCTCGGCATGACCTTCTTCGATCACGGATCTCGAGAGTTGAACGACAGTCCCCGAGCTTATCTCGCATTCCTCGACCGATGATCCCAAATTTGCAAGTGCATCGGCCTCACTGTTTTGCTCTCGTGGAATATGCTGTAAAGTCCATTCTTTGAAATGGTGCAAAGTGACCTGCAGTTTGTCCAAATACCTTTGCATTCTATCTTCTCGAACTTCGAAGGTTTTGTTTACTTGATTTACCACCAGCAAAGAGTCACACTTGGCTTCAATGACTTCTGCTCCCAAGCTTTTAGCTAGCTCGAGACCTGCAATCATGGCCTCATACTCGGCCTCGTTGTTAGTCAACCTAGTAGTTTTGATAGATTGCCTAATGGTGTTACCCGTGGGCGGCTTTAAAACGATGCCTAGCCCGGACCCCTTCACGTTCGAAGCCCCGTCCGTAAAAAGGGTCTATACCCCCGATGATGTACCCGATTTCAATAAGAATTCTTTTTCAATTTTGGGTACGAGGATCGGCGTGAAATCGGTCACGAAGTCTGCTAAAATTTGAGACTTGATGGTCGTACGGGGTTGAAATTCGATATCGTACCCACTGAGTTCGACGGCCCATTTGGCCAATCGGCCTGATAGTTCGGGCTTGTGCAAAATATTACGAAGTGGGTAAGTGGTCAATACGCATATGGGGTGACATTAAAAGTACGGTCTTAACTTTCTAGAGGCACTTATCAGTGCAAGTGCCAATTTTTCTAAGTGTGGATATCTAGTTTCTGCATCTCCTAAGGTTCGACTTACATAATAAACAGAAAATTGCGTACCTTGCTCTTCTCGAACTAGGACACCACTTACCGCGATTTTTGATACTGCCAAGTACAAAGTTTTTCATTTGTTTTTGGAGTATGAAGCAGTGGTGGGCTCG